ACAGAAAGCATATCACGTGGTCTATGACCACGTGATCTCCTTAACAGAGATCACGGGCGCAGCCCTTTACACTAATATCCTCTGGTTAGCTATAGCACTTTAAGAAACCTAGATATAAAAAGATTTAACTATTTATTTGTTATAACTAACTAAAGTAGATTATAGCGTTCTTAGTATCCGTCTATTAATACTATTATGTATCTATAGCGCCAACGCGGGCGATATAGGTCTACGACTCTATTCTATACCTACGCGTGCTACTCTACCGCCGTGATCTCTCTATTAACGGCTAGTTTGTCCCGAAAGAACCACAAAACCATTCCTATCCGCTCCTCGCTCGCCTCACTCCGGAAACGAACACTAAACTTCCTCTGCTCCTTAGTTGGATGCAGGGCAGTGATAGCGTTGCGGATACGTTCTATGTTATCTAGAAGCCATTGATATGCGTCAGCATCGGGCTTGATTCCACACTTTTCGATAAGCTGCATTCCCAGCTCGTAAATCTTATACGCGTCAACGTTGTTCACGAACGCGTAGCCATTGCTAGATATGATATTGATCTGTGCGACGAGACTGGCACGATAACCGCGTGTATCAAGAAAACCAGAGCGTAGGAGTTATACTAAGCGAGCTATCCATTGGCGTAACTCTTTAAGAACAGGGTCGGATGGGCGATTATAGAATGCCATCATGGCATTGTCAAAGATACCAATCTCAATGGGTACTCGATGGGATAGGTTGGGTTCGGGTGGAGGCAACAACACAGACTAGAGCCAAGAGAAGAAAACCATTTTGACGATGGGATAATGGAGTAGAAGCGGATGCCGATCGAGACGGAATTGAAGAGACAGACCGGAGACGAAACACGGCGAATTTATAGGCATCGGCGCGCTGCGCTGCGCTATGTGTCCTCATTATAACCATAGTTCTTTATGCGGCTGCCTTGTTGCAAATGTAGTTTACTGTTTTATTGCCTTCGTTGCAACCACAGTTGAGCTGGTTATCGCGTCCAATGGACGTGTGCCCATGGGCGTATGCCCATGGAGAAATTGCTAGTATTACCAGAGGACCCTTTTTGGGTTCGAAAGTAGGGCTTCGCTTACAGAGATCTTATGGCCGAAGCTCTAAGGTTTTTATAATAGAGGCCTTTCGTTCGAACCATTACCCTAACTATAAAGTCTGTTTTTAATACCTAATCCTAGTAGATTAGAGCGTAGCCTACTCTTCTTTTCTAAGAAAAATCTTCTAATAAGCCTTACGCTAAACAGATACTCAACTTAAGCTATAACTAGACACTTACCCCTTTTGTTATTCTTATTTCGTCGTAGCCTTACATGCGTGCACACTTTTCTAAACTTAAATATCTATGCTATAAGCAGAGTTATATATCTTTATCTTTCTTTTACTGATTACATCTCTTACCAGTGCATTTAAAAGATGTTAGAATATATGCATAGGAAATATCTAATCTAACAACCCGCAAATTATTACCTAGTACAAGATAGATAGCGACGTAGCTAAGTGTAATGGGCTGCGCCCGTGAGAGTGAAAGCACGTGATGTAATCACGTGCCTATAATACACCGCCTA